AAGATACTAAATAACTGAATACTGGAAAGGGAAAATGTCAAGGATTACATTATGACATCAAATTCATCATCGGTGAGGGAATATGGTTCACCCCGAGTAGGAGACAGAATCACTCTTCCAGTCTTCCATCTCCCGACTTTTCAGAAATCCTAAAAGCATTTACGAAATCATATAACTTCAAACATAAGGGTAGAAAGCACATAAAACATCACCTCAGAGCATAAACATAATCTGACACAAAATATTAGGTCCAACAATATCAAATACTCCCTCCGTCCCATAAAATAGTTCTCGCATTGACTTGGATCGGGGTTTAACAAAGTGGGAATAAAGTGGAAATGTATGGTTGTGGTTGAGTAAGAAAAAGGTAAATGAATGTGAGCCACACAAACCTTTCCAAAAAGGGAAATGTGAACTATTTTTTGGGACGGCCCAAAAAGGAAACCGATAACTATTTTATGGGACGTAGGGAGTATGGTCTTTACCTGGCTTTTACTTCATAAGGTTCTCTAGGGCATTCCCAAGTACCTTGTTATGCTCGTCACTTTTTAATGCCACAACCTTCTCCAAAGTCTCTTGGCCCAAATCCACCATTATCTCTTTTATATTGTAACAGAAGGCAGCAAATAAAGAACAGAAACAAATTAAAATGACATACGAAGATTAACAAAGCCGCATGCAACAGAAATAACTAAATAAACACTAAACTTAGAATCGTAAGAAAATTGCCATCATCGCATTTTGCCGTGAATATTGAAAATAATGATCAGGAAAATAATGAAAACATTGTAGACACGTTCTTGGAATTACGAAGCAGGCCTTTAGAATCTCTTTACCAATAGTCTAGAAACATATTTACAAACATAGACATAGATATTCTAAAAATTAACCAATTTATACTATTATAAATATGTCTACTTTTACTAATTTAGTCATAACCTCACTCAAACATCAATATTAATTTTATAATCCTAAAATTATTGAACTTTCTGATAAAAATCGAAATAAATTAAATGAAATGGTAAAAGAATGACAAACAAACCTCTAACACGTGAAGAGGAGACAGATAATAGACCCGAGTCGGAAGATGCGGCGAGTAAACAGGAGCGGCTGAGGCGGCACCTTGTATTACGAGCACTCGAGCAAAGGCGGCACCTTGTATTATGAGCATAACGAAACTAAGAGATAGAGCAAGTTTTGGAATTTAAAACGCTTGGCTGTGGTACGTCTCAACGAAATAGGAATTGGGTTTCAAAAGACATGAACCCTTCCCATCAAAAGACATGAACCCTTCCCAGACACACTGATGTGTGTTTTCTCGTACTTAAAATAGATCGTAATATAGTGGTGTAAGTACGAGTATCTTCTCCACAGGGACGGACAAAAGGGAATCAAGAATTAATTAAATTCAGCGATTAAAAAGAAAATAAAATAAAAGCGTCATGCGAGATTGGTTTGTTTGGAAAATAAAACTAATGCGAACAATTAAACTAGGGGGTTCTTTCTAATTAATGACGAAGGGAACCGGGATTGATTCCGGGGTAACCGGATTTTTGGCAGATCAGGCCTAATTACATGAAATTAATTTAATTGAGCCTAGCTAATCATTACTAAGTTCTTACCGCTCTCGCGGCGTAGAGTACAATAATTTAGGGGACCAGGCTGATCTCTCATGCGACAGGATCCTAAATTATTGCCAAGACGAGCGAGCTTACGGCCCCTTAATCGCTACTAATCTCTTAGCGAACGATTAAGTGTGTGTGAATGTGTCCTAGAACAAATTAGATCTCTCTTAATTTATTCTACATGCAATTGTAATTCTAGTCGCGATTCTAGGTTACAAAAGATATCAATTAAATTATTCAAACACAAATTAAACGGCATTCATGCAATTAAACCGAAAAGAATCTAGCCATACATCATGATTAACCCCTTCATCAATCCCAAATCCCTAATTAAAACTACTCACAATTCATAATTGAAGAATCAATAGAATTGGAATAAAAAGAATTAATTGTCATTAATTAAAAAGGTGGAACTTACAAAGAATCCCAAAAGATTGATGAACAAGGCTGAAAAGCCCTCTAAAATTCGTGCTATGCACTCTCTCTAAGCTCCCCCCTTGAAAACGGGGGTTTACAGGCTGTTTAAATAGAAAAATCGGGTGAAATTTGAGCTGAATTAGGATTTTCGGAGCCAGACACGATGCCAGGCACGATCGCGCCTTCGATCGTGCCTCCGTAGCAAAAACGCGCATTTTGGGCAGGCACGATCGTGCCTCCCTCCAGGCACGATCGTGCCTGGCAGGCAGTAGCTCCACGGTGCTTTTCTCTTCAGGCACGATCGTGTCTGACTTTGAGGGCACGATCGTGTCTACTTAACTTCCGAATTTGACAAAACTTCCTTCATGAAAGTTGTAGATAATGAAGTCCTCTATCCACCCCAGTTTGCCAAATGTGATTTGAATCATCTAATAAAGAGATATGATTAAAACGGTGGAAGGTGTCTTTCTGAAATCGCAGCAGAGATCATCTGACTTCATCGTCTGTTTTCACCTCCTTCCTCTCAGATTCTCGCAAAGGTGTCTTCATATGATTTGTAGCCCTTGAAGTTGGCTTTCCTATGGAGCTTGAATCGTGTACATTGGATGTTTCTACAAAGAGATATGCTTGAACGATTGACAGAAGGTCATTCTGATCGTCGTTTTCAAGCTTCATTCATCTTCTTTTGTCCCGAAGCCAATCCTAGAGCTCTTTTTTCCTTCAAATCTTCATCGTGAATCTTCCGGTGACCTCCAAAGCTATCGAATCATTCTCAAATGCTTCTCAAATCATCCCGATTGTTCCTCAAGTGTCGGTGCCGGGCTCAAATTCCCTGATTTTGACTACAAACAACACAAAACTCGAACCAACGCCCGGTAAACATAACTTGAGCTAAAATTGAGACTTGTAATACCTTAAAACTAGGAAAATCATCAAAAGCCGATCTCAACATGCATCAAATACGTGTCAAAATACGGACTTATCACACACCTTAAAAGCACCACAATTATTTCAAACAAGCATGCAGTGGAAGGGCAGAACAACATTAATCAGAACAACATTACTACAACAACTGGGAAAAGGAATTCTTTCAAAGCCACGGATCTACCATCAACGGGCTCGTTTGGAAAACGGTCGGATGCTTGAAACCGCTGCATTTTTTTAACTTGAAACCGCTGCTAAAAGCAGCGGGTTGGTGCGGATCCGCCAAAACACAAACAACACCAACTTCTAAACCTACTGCAGTTGGGCCAGATCAGCTTACAGAAGTTTTTGTTCCTGGAAAAGATAAGCAACATATCACTGTATCGGTAGAGAACATCATTAAAGAGAAACAAGCAGAGTATAAAAATATGAACTTCTCCATAAACATAAGTACCAATATCCATATAATAATATTATAAGATGTCTACTTTTATTAATTCAACTTACACACAATAATTTAAGAAAACAAACTCAATTTCATAAAACACTAATTCAATTTCTCCAAAAAAAATATAGTAATTCAATCAATTCATACAAATACTAATCTTCGACAAATTTGATAAAATTCCATAAATTAAAAAAAATGTAAAAATAAAAGGTTGGAAACTAAACATAGCTAATATGAGCCGGAATATACTAGGAGGGGGCGGCGTTCGGCGTCTAGATCTGTTAGAGGCGGCCGGCGTCTAGATCTTTTAGAGGCATTTGGCGTCCAGATCTGTTAGAGGAGGCCGGCGTTCGGCGGATGCGGCTGGGAGGGGCAGTGTTCGGCGAATGCGGCTGGGAGGGGCGGCGTTCGGCGGATGCGGCTGGGAGGAACGGCGTACAGCGGCTGGAGATGGGAGGGCCTGTGTGCGCGGCAAACTGGAAGCAGCGAATGGGTCTGAAACGAAGACTGAACTGAGGCTGCGAAGTGGAAGGCTACGACTTGCACAGATTAAAACTAGCGCATGTTGTGAAGGACTTTTTGTTGCGGTGATTGTGCACCTGCAGCAGAAGTGTATTAAATTTAAAATGCTACTCCGTATTTACTGCGGTTCCAGGGTGACCGCAACAACTAAACTAAAAAATTCCAGAGCAAAAGCTGCGGTTCCTATGTAACCGCCGCAAGTAGTTGTAATTAGTAACATTATGCATGCTGCGGGTATGCCTACAACCGCAGCAAAAAGGCAGCAGCAATTGACGAAAATTCTAGTAGTGAATTATAGAAACAAAATCTCATTTCTTTTTTCAAATTCTCCTTCCATCTTATTTCATTTCTCACGTAAATTGAGTTGTGCAACTATAGAAACAAAAATCATTCATTTTCATTCAATTATTCCTTCAAATGCACATAACCACTATTTTATTATTTATCACAAATAATTCTGTCCCATGCACTAGCTAAAACATCATACTAGTGCACATAACTTTATCACAAATGATTTCTCCCCATGCACTAAAACATCATACTAGTGCACATAAATTTATACGCCCATACACTTAATTCATTTGCATATTACTGCACAAATCCACTACAGTAGCGCACACCTATGCTTTGTAAACTCAAATACGGACACTACAAGAAATTAGATGTTTTCCCCACACATGAAATAGCCACACATAAGATGTGTGGTTACTTAGCCACACATAATTTTATTTATGTGTGAGTAATAATCTAAAACGTTTAAATTAAGTCTATTACATATATCAAATGTGGGTGAATATTTTTTGTGACAATTAAATTTAGAGGGAAAGTTCCCGCCTTTTTTTTTCATGTCTACGTGGATACTCCTCTACGAAGGCTGCTTGCGTGTTTTTTTCGAGTCTTACCATTACTCACACATATTCGTAATTGTAAATTATGTGTAACTAAAATATATAATCTTTAGTTACACTTAAATGATACATATTGAACAAGTGTGGATAATTATAAACATGTTTTGATTAAAAAAAACACAAAATAAAAACAAAAAGCAAACAACTCACACGTCACACACCCAACCTCCCCATTACTCTAACCCTAAGCCCAACTAAGTCCCACGTTACCTACTATGCCTTACTCTCGGTCTCAATTTTTCCTTTAACAACGTTCCGTTCAAAGCATTGCAGCTGCGGCGGCGATTAATAATTTGGTCGGCGGCGAATAATAGCAACAGCAACAAGAAAGAGTTCGCTTGCTATCACCTGAATTGGTTGGTGACGCTTCTACAAGGTATGGAAACGATTTTCAATTTTTACTCAATTGATCGATCAACCTGTGCCTGGCTTTTGAGAAGCATCCTGGCATGAGAAAGGCTGCACTTTTCCCTTTGCTTTTCTTGGGCGCGCTTTTCCGATAAGCGACCGGTTTGCCCAGCTTCTCACAAAATGCGGCTTTACCGGTCAATTTTTCTGTGAGCCTATTTCATCCATATTGTTCTCCAGAATTTTTCTTTCAGATTTTTACAATACTCTGTTTTTAGTTTGAACCCAACTTCCGCAATTTTTTTTTGTTTCTTCGAAACTCTTACACTATTTGTATAAGCTTCTAAAACAGCCTATATTATATAGATATAATTTAATGAAAGAAATCATCATATTATCATTTCCTTGGTAGTAATTATAGTTTTAAACAGGTGAATTATATATAATAATGAAGGCAGAGATATCTAATGCCTTTTGTTGAAGAAAGAAATCATTTTCTTGGTAGTAATTGTACCTTTTATTCTATCAAGTATTAATGTAGTAATTGTTTTATGAAAATATCAATCTGTTTTCTTGATTAATTAAATTTAGTTTATTCCAATTTATTCATTTCAGTTTAATAATTAATTATTTTTTAGTTTATTTCAGTTTATTCATTTTAGCTTATTGATTAAATAATTGTTAGTTTATCACTTGATTAACTTCAGTCCAGATTGTTCCTTTCAATTTTTTGATTAACTCATTTTTAGTTTATTTCAATTTATTCCACTAAGTAATAAGGTCTTGTGCGTTTTTGTGTAATTGTGTAATGAATGTTTTGAAACTTTATGCCGCACTAGTATTATTTTTAATGACTTCTATGACTACTTATGCATTTTTGGCATAATTATACATTATATAATATTTTTTCTTTATTTTTATAAACATCGCTTTTTTGTGAGAAAGCTACGCTTCGCTTAGCGCTTTCGGTTTTAAGCAAAGCCCAATGTCATCGCTTTTGAACGCTTTTCGCTTTAAAAAAGTTTGGATCGATGAGTTTATTTGATTCATTCATGACAAAAAAAGTATGCTGGAGTGTATAATTCAACAGTTGAAATTGAGTTAATGTTTTTGCCATTACTCAAACTTTGGACTTCTCGATCAGTGGTGGAACCAGGGAGGGCGAGCCGGTGCAGGTGTCGGCGCCCCTCTTTCGCCAGAGAAGCTAAAATAGATATATGAGTTATTTATATGGCGCTCCTGCATCGAACTTGGTCATCTTCTTTGCTTCTGAATGATGTCTCCGTTGGTTTGAACTTTCAAGGTTCAGGCTGACTTTCCATTTAATCTAGAATGCAACAATATAATACCGCCTATTTGTTTCAATGATATCTCAGACTTTATTTCAAGGTTCAGTCTATTTTTACTTAAAGCAGATCTATGAGTTTCTTTAAAGGTCTCAATCTTTTAATTCTTTGTGTGACATTTGAAAGCTAAAATGGAAAATTTGATTTTTTGAATATGTGACTTGTAAGGAATGGGTCTGAATTTTGGGTATTCACAATTTGGCAGTGATTAATATGAATATTGAATGTATTAGCAGCTCGTATCATGCTACGTAGTATGTCACTATATGTATTCTGTAGTAGTTATAATAAAAAATCTGAGGGTTAATTTGAATGTATGTAAATGCCTTTTTGGTTAAATGTGTTTCAATTTGATGCATTATAAACATTGAACTTGTGAATTTTGTTGCTATGTACGTAGTATATTTAATAATTGTACTTTTATTGATAGACCAATTAATTTTATGATTGGAAATAGCTTGAAGTAACTTAACAACTTTATTATTACTGATTATATGAAACTTACAAATTTACAATGACTATAAAAACCAAGTACTCTTTGAACAAAATGATGCAAAATTTTGAACTCATTCTTATTCAAAATAGGCCTGATTCACATCATAACGTAGTGATCTTCTCACCCTTAAAGCATTTAATGAATCTCCCATTAAATGTCTTCTATGACAAAATGCCAGATTTAAATTTATGTCCATGTTTAGGTTCAGCCAAATATTCTAAAGGTATTTTAGTGAAAGATTTCAGCAACTATAACTTATGATTTTATATGTTTTTTTTAATTTTTATGTTTTAGTATAAAAAGTTGAAAAATTGATTAGAAGACATACAAAGAGATTACTACTAAATAGAATGTAATGTAGTGAATGGAACTAAAAATGTATGTCCTCGTGACGTTTGTTTTTCATCAATTATTTTGTAATTTATACTCAAATTATTGTTATATTTCTATTGTAGGGCTGAGGAACTATTCTGAGCTCCCTTCAATCCAAATTCCAACAGGTCAGTTTTCAAAACTTATTTTTCATACTTTAATTTTGAAGTACATATAAATGTTTGACTTGTTAATAAATCGGCTCTTTGAACTACCTTTTCATTTTTTTTATTATAGTAGTAGATTCGTATAATATGAATCATGAGTGGGTGAAGACCTCAAATCGGATTGCTCCAGAATATGTGGCTGGGATTAAGGAGTTCATAAATGTTGCCAAGCAGAACCTAGATGGCAATGGATTGACACCATGTCCTTGTCGTGACTGTCTTAATTCGAGGTTTCATCCTATTGATGTTATCAGATCTCATCTGATATCTAAAGGAATTGATCAGTCATATGTACAGTGGGTATATCATGGTGAAGACCCATCTCATGATGAAGGTGTAGGTAATGGAGAATCGGAAGATGATGAATTTGATGGTTTGAGAGCGGGTTTACATGATGCATTCGGTAATCAATATTTTAATATTGGGGATGCTTCTAATTTTTCTGAAAGCCAATCACCCATAGGAGAAGAGGCTCATTATGAGAAGTTATATGAAGCTTTAGATAATCCGTTGTTTGAAGGATGTCATAAATCTTCAGCATTGACCTTTATTGTGAAGCTGATGAATATAAAGGTCATGCATAAGTGGAGTGATAGTTCTTTTGAGATGTTGTTAAAGCTGCTCCAGGAGGTTCTCCCTCAAAGTAATAATTGTCCAAAAAGCTATTATGAGACTAGGAAGTTACTGTGTGATGTTGGTTTAGGTTATGAGCTTATTGATGTTTGCCAATTTGATTGTGTCTTATTCTATGGTAACCATAAATATGATATCACATGTCCTATATGTAATTGTAGTAGATACATTCGGAATAAGATTCCACATAAGAGGGCAAGATACTTCCCCGTGAGTCCGCGTCTGAAACGGCTTTACACTTCACGTCACACTACGAGAGACATGCGTTGGCATAAGGAAGTGCGTAAGGAAGAACCTGGAGTTCTACGTCACCCCGCTGATGGAAAAGCTTGGAAGCACTTTGATGGTTTGTACCCAGAATTTGCTGCAGATTCGAGAAATATAAGAATGGGGTTAGCTTCAGATGGGTTCAATCCATTTAGTAATATGTCCACGACACATAGTATGTGGCCAGTAATTTTGATGCCTTATAACATGCCGCCGTGGTGTATGATGCGTAAAAGTAACTATCTATTAACATTATTGATTCCTGGTCCAAAGTCACCTGGTAAGGATTTTGATGTATTTCTAAGGCCACTAGTGGATGAGCTTAAAACTTTGTGGACAGATGGGGTCCAAGCATATGATGAGTATTCTCAATCATATTTTACTCTTCGAGCAGCAGTTATATGGACAATTAATGACTTCCCGGCTTATGCTTACTTATCCGGATGGAGTACTATGGGGAGGTTAGCATGTCCAGTGTGTCTTGAGGATACAAAATGGAAACGAATCCGGGGGAAACAATGTTATACAGGGCATCGATGCTTTTTAAGCAGTGCACATTCCTGGAGAAAGAGTAAAGAGTTTGATGGAAAGCCTGAGAAAAGGGGACCACCTCGTGAATTTTCTGGCATTGACATCTTACGACAGCTTGCTGATGTTCCTACGTGCATTCCTGGTAAAGCTTTTAACAATAAAGACCGAAAACGCAAGCGTGGGGCTAATGAGTTGAATTGGTCTAAAAAAAGCATTTTGTTTGAACTCCCATATTGGTCACAATTGTTGATGCGTCATAATCTTGACGTAATGCATATTGAAAAAAATGTTTGTGATAATATTGTTGGGACCTTGTTAAATGATCCTCTGAAAACAAAAGATACTCTGAATGCACGCCTAGATTTGGAGGATCACAACATTCGTAGAGAATTATGGTTGCGGGAACGTAATGGAAAATATGAAAAACCTCATGCTAAATATACATTGAGTAAAGATGATTGTAAAGAGTTCTGTGACTTTATTAAAACAGTTCGCCTACCAGATGGTTATGCTTCCAACATCAATCGTTGTGTGACAGATGCAAATACACTTGGAGGAATGAAGACACACGATTGTCATGTGCTTCTCCAAAAGATATTGCCAGTAGCAATTCTTGCATTCTTTGATAAAAAAATACGTACGACACTAATAGAGTTCTGCCAATTCTTTCAAAAATTATGCGCCAAGACTCTATATGTAAGCGAACTAGAAGACATGAAGAATGGGATTGTGATCATACTATGTAAATTGGAACAAATATTCCCAATGTCCTTCTTTACTATCATGGTTCACCTATGTGTGCATCTACCTGAACAAGCACTGTTGGGAGGACCAGTCCCTCCAAGATGGATGTTTGGAATAGAACGACGTATGGGCACGTATAAGGGTTATGTCCGTAATTATGCCCGTCCTGATGGATCTATTACTGGAGCATATGTGGTTGACGAGGCTATTACATTTTTATCTCGATATTTGAATGATGTTGAGATGAGATTTACACGTCCAGAACGTAATTGGGATGTATCTACAGAAGAGTATAAGATAGACGTGTTTAACAACAAGATTCGTACTCTTGGGGCTGCTAAATTTGGAAATCTTGGAATCTATGGAAACGTGGTGCAATGCTATATTCTTAACAACTGTGGAGAAGAACTTGATGATTACGTAAAGTGAGTTTAGCATTATAATATTATTTCTCCATATTTTTTTATTTTAATTAGGTATAACTAATCATCTAATCAATTTAGTGAGCATAAGGAGCTTGTGAATTTGACAAATGTACACTCACATGACCTGGACAGCATACAAAGACGTGAATTTCCTTCTTGGTTTAAAAACAAGGTCAAAAACTAGAGAATATTTAAAGTTAAGTATGTTTTAAAAAGTTTTGGAGTTTATATTTTATATTGGGTTTTCAGATGGCTGTCCTTAGAGTAAAAGGTGATCCAAAAGCTACAGACGATTTGTATTCTTTGTCTCAATTACCAGATGATCGCTACACAATTTGGCAGAGTTGTATAGTTAATGGTGTTAGGTTCAGATGCAAAGAACGAGATGATAAGTTTAAGACACAATGTAGTGGAGTCTGTACTAGTGATGATCATAGTGATAACATTTATTATGGTGTATTACTTGAAATTCTAGAACTCGATTTTATCCTTGGGAGGAAGGTTTTCATGTTTCGTTGCAAGTGGTATAATACTGATCCAAAGGGAAAAACAATAGTGGTTAATCATAAGTTGACCTCTATTGACACATCATCAAATTGGTATGCTGAAGATCCATTTATTTTGGCTGCACAAGCACAACAAGTGTTTTATTTGCAAAATCGAGCTTTAGGCAAAAATTGGATGGTTGTACAAAAAGTGAATCACCGGTACATATATGATGTACCTGAGCACGATGATGATCAGAATGGTAGCAGTGTGATATTTCAGGAAGATGATGCTAGTGAGCTGCCACATTTTCATCCAACAGAAGAGATACATGATTCATCTATGTTAGTTCGACAAGATTTGGAACCTGAAACATTACCCAATGAAGTTGTCCAAAAATTACGTAATCAAAAGTCTACTGCTATTGGACGTGAAGATTCATTAGAAGATAATGATGATAATGAAGATTATGATGATGGTTCTCTTTTCTTTAACCAAGATATGACTTTAGATTCCGAGAGTGACAATGATTCAGATGAAATTGAGCTGAACTTGAGTGATGAGGAAACTATGGCATGACATGAAATCATTCATAGGTTTTCTCATATCAAAGAAATTTAAATTATTTTTGTTGTTGTTGTTGTGATTGTTTCATATAATTATGTATTTTTTCTTTGACAGATTTCTCATGGCTGGTTCAAGACGAGGTGGATACGGTGGACAAGTTAGTCGTGGTAATGGACATGGTAGGGACTCAGTTGCAAGTTCATCTTTAGCAAAACAACTTCAATCTGGTTAGTAAAATACAAAACTATTAACTCTGGTTGTTCTTATTTTTATTAATATGATTGATGATTGATGTTATTCTTATTATTTTTATATTATTATTATTATTATTATTATTATTATTATTATTATTGTTATTATTATTATTATTATAAATATATACTTCTTATGTCTTGCATGTCATACTAAAAAATATAGCTACTGAAGCACCACACGTATCTGGAGCTCTAATGAAACGACCAGGTAAGTAACACGTATTTAGTGTTATAATATCCAAAACATGGCTAGTTTCAATGTGTTATTTTTAAGAGAAAATTACCCATTAAATATATTCCACCCGTTGCTCTTTACATTCAGTTCGGCGACATTCACATTTCACTGACTTTTCTCATCTTTATCTCATTAAAATTTACTGTCTATTTGAATTTCCATTTAGATTTCAAACTCTTCATAGACTGCTAGGTGAGGGCACTGTATTCATTTTCTACCATATAGAACCATGCGGTATTCGTCAATAGTGTCTAGTAGTCATAAATAAGTAAATACTCTTTTGTAGTCATACTATGGGAAAATCATCATGTTTTAGTCATATTGTTGTATTTTTCCCTATTTTTAATATCTAGTAACACTTTCCACTTTATTCATTTTATTCCGTTATTTTGATTTCTATGAATAATTACATATTCCTTATTTCTTACGTTGACTTGTCATACAAAAAATGAAGTTACACAAGCACCACAAGCAACTGGAGCACAAACGGAACGACCTGGTAAGTGAAAAACACACATTCTTTGCACTTGTTATGTGTTAATATTTTGAGAAAGAACTCACATCAATAAGTATGTTAAATGAGATGAGGTGCGACATAAGATACTCCGCAAGGTGTATCCTCTCTATTAAATTTAAACTTGATTTAAACTTGGAGCAGGTTATTTAAGAGATTACTTATTCATTTTATTTAGTTATTGAAGTAATATGAAACTAATTCTGAGATTACTTATTCATTTTATTTAGTTATTTCAATCGATCGAGTTCTATGTATGTTTATTTATATACTCCTTATGTCTTATGTTGACTTTTCATACAAAAAAATAAAGCTACTGAAGCACCACAAGCAACTGGAGCACCAACCAAACGGCCTAGTAAGTAAAAAACACATTCTCTGCACTTGCCATGTTTTAATCAATTTATATTTTGAGAAGGAATTTACACCAATAAGCATATTTCATATCCTTGTTACTATATAGTGTACTTTATTCATTTTATTTAGTTATTTCGATTTCTTTGAATGATTATTTATATATACTCCATATGTCTTATGTTGACTTGTAATACAAAAAAAATAAAGCTTCTGGAGCATCACAAGCAGCTGGAGCATTAAGGAAACGACCTGGTAAGTAAAAAGCACATTCTTTGCACTTGCTTTTTTTTAATGAGTTTATAATTTGAGAAAGTATCCAAATTTGTAAGTATAAAATGACCCGTTAGTATTTACTTCACTTTACTGGCATATGAAGTACATTCTTTGCACTTGTGCTTTATATTTTGTTTCCGGTTTAATGACAACATTTACCAATTTAATATTCGATTTCTTTAGTTATTTCAATTTCTCTGAATGATTATTTGCATGGGAACTTTCATTGGTAATTTTGTAATGTAGATAACGTGTAATGTACTTTAATTTACAACTCAATCTCTAGGAAACCACCAAGCGTCATCTGGTAATAACGAAACTATATCACAAGGGTCAAATGTGCGTGGAAAAACTTGTAGCCAAGGTGCACGGAAAGCAATGAAAAGTGCCAAGACAAGATTGACGGTAGAGTTTGACTTTGACCTTCAGAAAGCAATATGCGCTAATGCAGAGGCTTTCAATAACGAAATTGGGTATATTGTCCGAACGCAATGTGACTTAAAGTTTAAAGAATGGAGGTTTGTAACAGAAGCAGTGAGGGCACCACTTCGTTATAAACTTCTTGTAAGTCTTCATAATTAAAGTTTATCTTGTTTAATTTGGCTAATTCAATTTTACTTTTCCTTTGCAGTTTTCCAATTCATGTAGGAAAAAGTTGTTGGTAGTATTAACTTTGCAATGAGCTAACCTCTAGTTGTTGCTGCCAAATTATATTGAAATTATATTGTGTTCTTAGAAAGAGATGATTTTCTACTCACTAGAGTTCTATATTACTCGATTTGGTGCAACACATGACCTCTCAACATATATAATGTTCATGTTATATCTCTTACTTTGCTGATTTGCAGACATTATTTGATGTTGATTTGGAAAATGAGAATGTAAGGAAATGCATTGATAATCAAATGCACACAGCATGGCATGGGTACAGACACACATTACGTTTGTACTTTAAAGAAGTTGGAGGTGCCAGCGATTTAGCAACAGCAAAGAGTAAGCCTCCTGAGGACATCAACAGTCTAGATTGGGATTATCTATGTGATTTGTGGAGCGACCCTGCTTATCTGGTATTGTGTTTTACTGAACTAATGTTATTCTTTTTTTTAAAAAAATACATATATCAGTATACATATGTATATTGATATATATATATATATGTATATATATGTACGCGTTTATATATACGTTCCAAAAGCAGTATATTACACAAAATTTAAATTTGAGAGTTTGCTTGGAGAACCAAATGTAAGCTCACCAGATTTAGTATATATGCATGTTAGACTCCAGTTTTATTTGCTGGTTAATCACTATTTTATTTTGCATAAAACACATGTATAAGTTTTAACTGGATTTTGTTAACTGCATGTGTTTTAAGCCTTAAACTGTTTTGTATTGTACTTCATAAGTTTTTTTAGTAGTATGAGGGCATGAACTTATATTTAATATGCTAGCCGTGGACTGATAATTGTTATAAGCAGTGTGTAGATTTGATTTTTTTAATGTAATCATCTATTGTTATAGGAAAGAGCTCTTAGGAATGCTGAATCACGCAAAAAGAGAAAATACAATTCCAGGAATGGTTCTAAAAGTACAGCTCGTCATCACGTTAGTCGTGGAGTTGATCTAGATGCTCCAGTTGGACATATTGAGACATGGCGCCTCCGTCATTGGCATCCAGAGCGTGGTTGGATATCTCCAGAAGCAGAATCTAAATATGTAAGTAAAATTTATCTATCATTGTGTTCACCTCAAATACACATTTGTATGTTATTGGCTCATCAGGCATTTTATCGAAACATTTTAATGAAATACTATTTTTTTAAAAACCTAACAGGAAGAAATGATGCAACTGAGAAGAGATAACCCACCTGAGAAATTGACTGATAAGCAAATATTAGAAAATGTGCTTGGCCGACAATCTGTTCGGTTGTTTGGTTGGGGGCGGTCTCCCTCTGGATCTAAAAGAAGTAAAAATGACTCAAACCTCCCTACCTATAGTGAGTTGGTTGGCACAGTTGAAATGATGAGGAAATTGTTGATCGAGAAGAACATCATTCCACCGATGCCACAAATTGCATCAGATCATTGTTCAGGAGCACACAATCGCGACTCATCATCTGTTGGTCGAGATCAGCCTATTGATGGCTATGTTGATTCTACTTCTGAATTTGATGATCCCGAGTAGATGTTGCATTGAGATCAGAGGACGTAATACATTATTTATTTAAGTGCATGACACTGGTTACTATGTAGTGGCGTAAAACTTGTTTTCCTTTATTTGGTGTTGTTATTGAAGACTAAATTCTCATGGAGGATACTTACTACTAGTATTATGCATTGTCAATCTAGCTACCAACATAATTTTGATTTTGAATGAGCTTTTTTTCAATTTATATTATATTGATGTGTTTTGTTATTATTATATAGGTCTATTTCATAAAAAATAAACGTTAATTAAATCAAAAGAATAGTCGTACCAGCCCATAATGATCAATAGATACACATAGACAAAACTTTTACCCACACTTACGTGTCATTTTACGTACACCTATATACATATTTATTCACGTTTAATTGAATCATTTAGCTACACATTTATCATCTTTAGCTACACATAAAATATGTCCACGTGGCTCTATTTTTCCGGAAAAAATAACCTCATTTTCCACGTGTGCCACGTAATCACTAAATTGCCACGTCATGTGCCACGTCATGTGCCACGTCATGTGCCACGTCATGTGCCACATCAGACGCCATGTCATCAAGACGGTGTGTACATGACAAACAGCAACACACGGTATAGTGTTTTACCTACACATACATGTGCAGGTAAAAATAAAGAGTATTACCCACACATACATCTATGTGTGGGTAAAAACATTTAACTACAGTTGAATACCCACACATGTCTACACTTAATTTATGTGTAAGAAAAAATGATTGCCTACACATACCTACACATTGCCTACACAACATTTCAACATCTAATGTATCACCCAAAAGTGTTACAATAGCACTGAAAAGTGTTACATTAGAGAAAATGTAACACTTTTTTACCATTACATTTGCTCATGTTGCATTTGACCTATTGTAACACTTTATAGTCCCTAATGTAACATTTATACTTCTAGAAAGTGTTACATTAGGTCTAAAGAGTGTTACATTAGAGAAAAATGTAACACTTTTATAAGTATGTTACATCTTCAATGTTACGTTAGGTCTTAAATTGTAGTAGTGCCTACAACCGCAGCAAAAAGGCAGCAGCAATTGACGAAAATTCTAGTAGTGAATTATAGAAACAAAATCTCATTTCTTTTTTCAAATTCTCCTTCCATCTTATTTCATTTCTCACGTAAATTGAGTTGTGCAACTATAGAAACAAAAATCATTCATTTTCATTCAATTATTCCTTCAAATGCACATAACCACTATTTTATTATTTATCACAAATAATTCTGTCCCATGCACTAGCTAAAACATCATACTAGTGCACATAACTTTATCACAAATGATTTCTCCCCATGCACTAAAACATCATACTAGTGCACATAAATTTATACGCCCATACACTTAATTCATTTGCATATTACTGCACAAATCCACTACAGTAGCGCACACCTATGCTTTGTAAACTCAAATACGGAGTATGTTATTCAATACAAAGATGCTCCCACTACTATGTTATTGAACTGCACAATCTCTAGAATTTGCATAACTTTATTGTGCACTAGATATCAGTTTGTATATATTACATACAACAAGCTTCACTTTCTTTTTTAGTACGAGGTCATCTCATATGCATTAGATATCGGTAATTGTGTGTTAGATACATGTTCTTGTGCATCCGGTAGATAGAAATGTTTGTTGTTCTTTATTGTGTGCATCTTATACATATCTTATTTATAAAATTATATATGACATATTGATGTCATATGAAAGAGCATAAAAAGTTATTTAAGTTGGTATAATTTTTGTTAAAATTGGATTATTATTTAAGAAGTTAAATCAATTTATAAACTAAAGAAATTTATATGATTTAAGATTTATTATTACATAGTTTTTAGGGAAATGACAACCCGCTCAACCGTATGATTTTTTTTTTTAAATGACTATCATGTCCATCTATCCTACGTTTAATTAGAAGAGAGAGCATGGTTTTTTAAAGTGTTTGCACTTCCACGGTACATCCGTAGATCTACTCCTTTTTTGCTTATTAATTTAATAAGATCTATGGTTAAGATTTGTTCTCACGTTCTCACGTTAAGGAGTGTTCTCATTAGAACCCAACCCTATATATATATATATATATATATATATATATATATATATATATATATATATATATATATATATATATATATATATATAGTTTTTTTGGCATTGGGCCGCTGATATTCATGTAATTTCCGATTGTATGTTTGTATTTTTAACTAGTTTTTATTAGTTCTAGTTGTGGAAATTACACATTTTTGGTGTAATACTTTATTTTCATTTTTATTTGTAATTTAGTTAGATTAGGATTTTTCTGAGCTAAACAGGTCAAAGATCATCCAAGGGATCAAGATTGGACCTTAAAAGATCAAGGAAAGTGCAAGGAGACATGAAAGATTTCGATTTGGAAAAAATACTCATGTACCCGGTCGGGTATTGCCTATACCCGATCGGGTAATTGCTTGATTCGACTGTCCAAATCAAATCCGAAGACAAATGATCGTGGGAGCAAATTTTCATAAAGATTTGTCACATACCCGATCGGGTATATACGCTTACCCGATCGGTTATGCCCAGAAAAGTGACTTTCTGGGCAATTTCCTAAGATACCCGGTCGGGTATCCTATATACCCGGTCGGGTATCAGACCCTGCAGCTCCCAAAAGCCTATAAATACACCCCTTTGCTTCACAATAAAATCACCAATTCACATATACTCTTTAGCTCAGTTTAGATTAGTGTTTTCTTTATATTTTCTATCATGTTTAGTCTCCAAATGAGGAGCTAAACTCTTCCATCTTGGTTTTGCTACTTTGAAGCTTAATGAATTTGTAAGTTGTGAGTTATTCTCTTTAATCTTCTTCCTTGAATATTAATTCTTCCTTTAAATACTATTTCTATATCAATGTTGGGGAGTGTTACTAAGATGACAATTAGTTAACATCTTGACATTAGTTATAGTAATAGCTATTTCTTCCTCTATGTTAATATTGGGGAGTGTTACTAAGATGACAATTAGTTAACATCTTGATATTAACTATGATAGGATTCATCTTCTTTAATATTCTTCCTTGAGTATTAATTAATTCCTATTCATATTTCATATTAATATTTTGAACATTACTTAAAGGATCAACTAGTTTTGTTTCATATATTAATTATTACTAGAATCGGTCGATTAATACGCTTGTTATTAATTCGGTCCTTTCACGGTAGTAAACTTGGGTTATTAATGCATGCGTTTCATGGTTAATAAACCAAGGGGAATTAATTATATTGAGTAAACTAATAAACCGCTTGTGTTGAGGTTATCAATCTCAATCGTTTTCATCTTGATTTTATCGCTACTATCAAGTGAATATACGGCGCGTGTTCTATATTAACTCGGTAGTAAGTTTTATTAATGAACGCGTCTCGTTATTAATAACTACCCTCGATGAATTGGATATACTCCTCGATTGAGTATTCGAGAGGAAGATAGTTAAAGATATAACCGGGATCGACGAACATTTCATTAAGTGGATAAAAGCAAAGCCAAGTCTTCTTCTCATTAATTAAACCACATAACTCGTTCATCTTCGTGTTTAATTTATTAAACCAAATCAAACTAAAACCCCCCATTTTGTTACTAGTTTTATAAAAAGAAAAGTATTCCTTTCCCTGTGGATACGAACCTTACTACGCTATACTACGTATAAGTGTTGTATTGTATTATTATTTTGAGTGCACACTACGACAAAGTGCACGTCAGCCGCTGCTAGGTGGGTCGGGCTAGGTGTTTTGGCGGGGTTTGGGGGGAGGGGGGTAGGAATATATTAAAAAAAGACCCGACTCGACCCGACCCGGCCTGGCGGTCTCGGCTCAAACCCGGACCGATACCGGGCTTTCAGCCCAAATCCCCAGTCCCCTCCAATCCTGGTCTAGGGCCCGACCCGACCCCGACCCGGTCCATGCCTAAATGGTACATGACTTTTGGTGACTAAACTTGGAGCTCATATCATCGAGACTCAAATGATACATGACGAAAAAGCTTGTGATGAGTTTCTATTACTAGATTCAATTTACCATCATCAAATATTAGACTTTCATTCACTTTTTAGCTCAAACAATTTTAATTGAAGGTTACTTTTGCAAGGACCCTTAATAAGAGTCAAGTGTAAACATTTGAAAATGTTGACATCCTCCTTCGTTGCCCTATTTTTATGTATGAACATTTGAAATTAATTAACCCTTAAAATCGACACCGTCCCCGAAAACGGCGCTAAAAACTGATGTACTTAAAATAGATTGTAATATAGTGGTGGATTTTTTTCCACTTTTAGTCCCCCGACTATTATGTCATTGACATTTTTGATACTCGACTTTGTTTTTTTCTATTTTTAGTCCTTGACTATTGCACTAGAGACATTTTTGGTACCCGTCTTTGAAAATTTCCATATTTAGTCCTTCAACTTTCATAAAAGTGACACTATTAGTCCTTCAACTATTATAATAGTGACTTTTTTAGTCCTCCACTTATTGTGTCAAAATCATAATGTGTTGGTCCCAGTTTTGCAGACTAACGATCAGCTAGATGAACATCATCGATAGACAGAAGAGAAGGATTTCATATAATGATATAAGATTTATCGAGAACAGTGAAACCTTCTTTCTGTAGTATCGAGAAGTAAATTTGGCAGCGTAAGGCTAATGTGTATTGATCGATATCGGTACCTGTACACAAGGCGCGTATTTATAGGCGCTGTACAGGTTACCGATTTAGGTAAACCTTGGAAGTTGGGCCAAGGCCTTTTTGGGCCTTATTCCCTTTACCTTATTTGCTACATAATAAATACTAAATACTAATCTAATACCATAAATGGTATAACTAGTCTACTTTATTTAAACAAGACATTACAGACAAACTTGACCCACAATAAAAGTTCTAACAATCTCCCCCTTTGTGGTCAAGTGCCGTCTTGCTGGGTTTCTTCACTTCTGAGCTTTGTAATAGTTCTTTCTGAGATTAAGTGCGTGCTCATAGTTTCTGAGTGAGTTTCTTCTATCAAGTTGTTTCTGGATAGCCTGTAGAATTTTGTCTATTCTGTGTGCTTCCTTTAATTCGGCATCTGTCGCATCTGCATACTGTTGTTGTCTTTCTTTGAATGCTTCTCTGAT